TAAAACAAACTGCAAAGTTGTTTTAAAAATATAAAGAGCTTGGGTTAACGTAAAACAAATTTGTGACGCTGTTTCGTGTTGATTTATACAATTTATAAAATAAAATGCGTTAAAATAAAAGGAAGCAAATAAATAAAATTGATCTAGTTAATAAACTAAAATAAAACTTCATATTTGCGTCTATAGACCTATACGAGTTTATAATATATGGACCAAACAAGTAAGATCAAAGCATAAAAACATTAGATACCACGTCTTTTGTAAATTATCGTTTCCTGATCAAGCGTACGATTAAAAATTTAAGTATAATTAAGTTTTTCATTCAAATGGTTTTTAAACTGATGTTTTCATTCAATTTTTTTTTATTCTTATTGTTTTCCAAAAAAAAGTGAAACAAAAAATTTTATTTAATAAATCGAATTATATTAAGTATAAGAATATGCTTAAATTATTTTTTTAGAAAAAAATTTTTTTTCTACAGAAGTAGAATAATTTATTTTAAATTTTAAATAATTTAATTTAAATTTTTTAAAATTTTTATTTTAACTTGCAATTTGCAATCACTGCATTGATGTTTGCAATAGAATGTTTTTACTTTTAAAACTGTTTTCAAGAAAAAATATATAATTCAAAACGTTAAAAAAATTTACGATTTAAGAAAAAAAAACTTTCTTCTTTTCTCCCTTGTTTCATCAAACTTTTTTTAAATTTTTTTAATTTCAAATTTCAATCACAAAATTATTTGAATAAGTGAATTTTAAGGTTAAAGTTCTCTTGTTAAATTGATTTCTTTTAAAATAAAATTCCTGAAAACAATTGCATATTTATAGAAAATGTTTAGTCTAGATGTCGCTATAAATAAAATTAAAATATGTTGTGTCGCGTATTTCATATTCTATTCGACAATTTTTGTTAAAATAATTATTAGTTAAAAGCTTATATTATGTGTTAACAACATGTAAGATCTAAATTGAAACTTGTCTATGGCTAACTTTTGCGAGTATATTAAATAAATTAATATAATTATTAAATTAATACTTGAGTAACTGTAAGTTACTATCTTAACTTAACTGGTTGTTTTAATTTAGGTTATAAGTTCATTTACTGTGATATACTCTATCCATTTGCATAATTATAATGTAGCAAGTTTATATCAAGAGTTAAATTATACGATCGCGATTTGCAAACTCTGGTAAAATATTAGGTCTTTAAAATTTTAGTTCTGGTAAAGCTGTGTACTTTGTTTATAAGGAGTAAATTATTAAAAGTTTGCTAGCAAGAAAGTTACAAAACACAAAATAAAAACAATAAACTTACGACTACAAAAGTAACAACACTTTAGTCACTAACTGCATTATAAAAGTAATAAAACTATAATAGTGTTATTACATTTATAAAGCACTTATTACTTTTAAAGTTCATTCTTTTTTCAAATAACATTATTAATTCCAAACATTTATTAAAGTAGAAAAGCATCTAAAAAAATAAAGCGGATATTCAAATATTATTAAAAATTTCAGGAACTTCCACATATTACTTAAACGTTATAAAAAAATACTTTATAAAAAGTATAGCATTATGAAAAACGTTACGTAAAAACACGTGTTAATTTTAAAATCAACCAATAAAAATTTTTTATTGGTTAATTTAAAAATTAATCCGCGTTTTTACGGTCCATTAGAAACGTTTTTCATAATGCTAAACTTTTAATACGATACATTTTCATAAAGTTGTTTGTCACGTTTTTACAAGTTACTTTAGTTTTAATATTATTTGAACATCCACTTTATTCTTCTAGATATATTTCTACTTCAATTAAAATTTGGGAATACTAATTTTGCTTGAACAAAGAATGAGTTTTAAAAGTTATAAGTGCGTTATAAAAGTAATAACACCTATTATAGTGTTATTACTTCTGTAATGCAGTTAGTGACTAGAGTGTTATTACTTTTGTAATCGTAAGTTTATTGTTTTATTTTTTATTTTTTTGCTAACAAATTTAAGTTGATTCTCCTCTTAAAAACAAGGAACATGTTTTTGTATAAACTAAAATTTTGAATACTAGATATTTTTCCAGATTTTGCGTTTTGCATTCGCTTAATTCAACCCTTGTTGTTACATAAAAATTATACAAATAAAATTTACAAACACATTGCAATTTGTATTTTTGCTATCCTCTTAAAAAAAAAAATAAGAAAAGGAAAATCATTCTTTTTATTGTAGACTTAAAACTTTTTTTTTTTTGCTTCGCCTTATCTAATTTTGTTGCTGAATGTAACTCTAAAGAAACAAAAATAAAAACAGTACACAAATTATTTAAATTATTAATTTGTTTTTATTTATATTCTATTTCAATCTCTTTATTTTGTTAGTTTTGTTTTTTTGATTTTGAAACTTTTTCAACATTATTACAAATCTTGCAAACGGCCGTCTTCACATTTTCTAAAATATTATAATCGCGTGTGGTCATATGAGATGAAAAACCGCACGCCTTTCCTGGGAAGGCTTGCAGATTGATGTCAATTTTTTACTTATGCTGCATTTTTCTACAGTTATTTACAAACTAAATCCTAATTAAGGAGTCAACTTCAGCGTAATCAAATCGTTTTGCTAATCACTTAATTCACCTCTTGAGTTGCTGATTGATACTAATAGGGTGCTGGTGCGGTTCTGAAAGTAAATTTGATAAACATTTGGCAAAGCTTTCTGGGATTAAAATGCGGACAAATCAAACAAAAAATGATTAAAAAAGAGCAATAAAACAATGTTTTTAGGACTCTCATCTGACTTTTGCTATCTTTAGCGTTTGCCAGCTGGTTTAATTTAAAAAAATAGGAATTTCTTAAGATTCAGTGAAAAACTTGGAAAAAAGGATGAATGAAAAATAAAACTTTCGAAATTATATATTTAAACAAAAAGTTTACATCTTGTAGATTTTCTTGCCGAAAGTAATGAAAATTTTTTTGTATCATTTAGTACTTTATTATGTGAACATGAAAAATATAATTTTATCGCTTTTTTTTTATCTCAATTTTCTACTTTTAAGACTTTCTTGGACAAGCAAATTATCAACTTTCATATTTATATATTTATAACTTTTTTTTTCTTGGACCAGGGTTTTCTTGGAGCAACTTTCACATTTATAAGTAGTAATTGAGTAGTCACAATTTTTTTTATTTAAAATTTTTGATTATTGCTATATTCTATTTAGCTTTTGTGATTTGCGATTATTTTATTTTGAATATGAAATTGTACTGTATGCTTTATTTTTTTAGTTTTATCTGATGATTTAGCAAGTTTAAGTAATATTTTTTAAGTAGTAATCATAAAAATAATTGTTGCATGGTTTTATAATAATTTTAAAATAGTTTTAAGATCAATGTTTTGTAATATATTTAAGATCAATGCACAAATATTTTTTATTGAATTACAACTATTAAGTTTTGTGATTAAAACAGAGTTTATGGTTAAAAAACTATAAATTTAAAGACCAGAAATGTTTCCAGATATCGCAATTTACAATCACTTAATTCACCTCTTGATTTACTGATTGAGACTAATTGATTAAGACTAACTACATTGGATAAGATTTCACCCAATCGATTTCAGGATTTGAATGATAAAGGTTTGTGAAATGCTTCATTTAAAAGGGCCTATCTGGTAGGGTTCTTTAAACTCAGAGCATATGTTTTGGCAACAAGTTGCTTATCCTCTGTTCAGACTGTTTTTGTTTGACCTGTTTTTAAAGCATTGCAGATTGAGCCAGTGATATTTATTATGTCATGAATGCTGTAAATGGTTTGTCTCTGGGGCTTGAGTACTAAATGTTTAAACTCAATCTGTTTAAAATGTTTTTGCCTTTTGATATTTCTAATACTGTTTCATCACCCATTTTTATTTATCTGTATTTAAGTTATTTGCCAATATGAGTTTTCTGATATATATATATATATATATATATATATATATTATATATATATATATATATATATATATATATATATATATATATATATATATATATATATATATATATATATAAAGAAAATAGATTCAAGTTAAATAACTGAAGTATCCATCTGTAAAACGCGCACAAAAAATCACAAAAATAGAAATTCACAAAAGTAAAGAAAAAAGTCACAAAAATAGAAATTTTGAGTGGATTTTATTTCCAAATTCTATATACTGAAGTTTATTATCTATTTAAATATTAGAAAATTTTAATCAGTTAAAACAATTTTTAAATAAAGTTTATCTTTTTATTTTTTTAAATTTAAATAAATAAAAAATATATTTACAAATTTTGGCAAATGGGCACCTATCTATCCAATGCATAAACATTCTACAAACTGACCACCTTCTTTTGGACTCCTCTGTATATACATACACACACAGATATATATATATATATATATATATATATATATATATATATATATATATATATATATATATATATATATATATATATATATATATATATAACAATTTTTCCTATATATATATATATATATATATATATATATATATATATATATATAAATATTTAACAACATGAAAAATTGTTAAATATCCAAATATTTAACAATTTTTCATGTTGTTAAATATTTGGATAAAACGTTTAGCGTAAAATTAATAGCTATAAAAAGGTAAGATATATCGCGATGAAAAGTTACAACAATTATTTTTAACGTAAACTCTTTTTTGTAATAAATATCTTTACATATCGTTATTTAAAAGTTAATGTGGTTTTTTTAAAAACTAATTACTTCTTTTATGTTACCGCTAATTTAAAAGTTAAAAAATGATAAAACAGCTCTACGCGTATGTAAAAATCGCTTAAGGCATACGTAAATCGCTCTAGGCGTAATGCTTTAAAACAAGGCCTTAAATGTAATTTAAGTCACATAAACTTTATTATATCTTTTTTTTTATTATTTTACTATTTTGGCATAAAAAACTTTATAATAAGGTTGATAAAACTAAATAATTTTTATTAGTTGTTCATGCACAAGATATTTGGTTATCGTGGAGTAATACTTTTTCCTTGGGTTGCTAAAGTATATGACCATAATGCATTGCTTTCTGATGATATACCGTATGTATATTTTATAGTTTCTGCTTTATTAAATTTTATATTACTAACAATGTAGTATTTGTGTATGCCTGTGTCTTATGTGTAGACTCTCTGTTTGTTGTGTTTATATTTTGTGTACATGTAATTTAGCAACTAAAGCTCATTTTATGCCATGGTTAGTTAAGATAAAATAAAGCCAATTCAATAAGGTAAAATTAAAAACTGACATATTTTTATGATGCTAAAAATTATTTTTTAGCATCATAAAAAACTCACTAATTTGATGCTAAAAATTTTTGAGAGTATTTGGATCATTTATAATTATAATTTTGATTATTTATTGATAATCATCATCATTTTTTACTCTTTTTCTTTTACTTTTTGATTACTTCTTAATTATCTGAACTCCTGAGTTGAATTTTTATATGCATTTTTTTTTTTGATGCATAATTTGAATCAAGAAGTTATTAATTTTACCTGCTAGAACCTGTTTTTTAATTTTACCTTCTACTTGTTTTTTAATAATATAAAGAAGAAATAAAAAGAAAAAAAAACAATCAAAATCTTTCAAGCTTATTCGATTTATTTACTTTTGATTTTTAAGTTTGTAACAGTTGTAAACACTTGATTTTTTCAAGTGGTCCTGTGGTCCTGACAACATTCCTGTTGTAGTTTTGCAGAGGTGTTCTCCGGAGCTTTCATCCATACTTTCTAAACTATTTAACAAGTGCTTATCAGAGTCTTGTTTTCCATCATGCTGGAAAGCAGCATCTGTTATCCCTATTTTCAAAAATTCCGGAGAGCGATCTGATTCATCTAACTACCGTCCCATTAGTCTTCTTCCTGTCATAAGCAAGGTTTTTGAATCTTTAATCAACAAACACTTAATCTCTCATCTTGAATCAAATAACTTACTCTCTGATCATCAATATGGATTTCGGTCTTCTCGTTCTACAGCTGATGTGCTAACAGTAATAACCGATAGGTTTTACCGTGCATTAGATAGAGGTGGAGAGGTTAAGGCTATCGCACTTGACATTTCTAAAGCTTTTGATAAAGTTTGGCATGCTGGTCTTCTCCATAAGCTTTCTTCTTATGGTGTAGCTGGTAACGTCTTTAAGATTATTGAGTCCTTTCTTTCCAATCGTAGTATAAAAGTTGTCCTCGATGGACAACACTCTTCTTCACATCCTGTAACTTCAGGGGTTCCTCAAGGTTCAATCCTTGGCCCTATACTCTTTTTAATTTACATTAACGATCTTCCAGATATTCTCACATCTAAGGTGGCATTATTCGCTGACGACACTACCATTTACTCTTGTCATGATAAGAAGCCTACACTCTCTGATTGCTTGGAGGGGGTATCTGAGCTTGAAAAGGATCTCACTTCTGCTATAGCATGGGGCTCACAGTGGCTGGTGAACTTTAATTCAGATAAAACTCAATTTTATTCGGCCAATCGTTATCGTAATAATTTAGATCTTCCTATATTTATGAATGGTAATGTACTAGATGAGTCATCTGCCATTCATCTTCTAGGATTAACTCTTACTTCTGATCTTTCTTTTAAACCGTATATCAAATCCATTGCAAAATTAGCATCTGCTAAGGTTGCATCTCTTTATCGAGCTCGACACTTTCTTACTCCAGATTCTATTCTCTATCTCTATAAATCTCAAATCCGTCCCTGTATGGAATACTGTTGCCACATCTGGGGCGGATCTTCTAATGATGCTCTTTCTCTTTTAGACAAGGTGCAAAAACGAATTGTAAACATAGTTGGACCTGCTCTTGCAGCCAATCTCCAACCTTTGTCACATCGTCGTAATGTTGCTTCTCTTTCTCTTTTCTACAAATACTATAATGGGCACTGCTCTAAAGAGCTAGCGTCCCTTGTGCCATCTACTAAAATTCACTCTCGTGTTACTCGCCATTCAATTAAGTCTCATCTTTTTTCTATGACTGTTCCTAAGTGCTTCAAAAACTCTTATTCTTCTAGTTTTTTTCCTCGAACATCAGTTCTTTGGAATTCGCTTCCTTCATCTTGCTTTCCTGATTCATATAATTTGCAATCTTTTAAGTCATCAGTCAATCGTTATCTTGCTCTACAGATTTAGTCTTTTCTCTTCCAGTAACTTCCAACTCTTATAGTGGTTGCTTGCAGCCTTGTTGGAAGTGAAGATGTTAAAAAAAAAAAAAAAAAAAAAAAAAAAAAAAAAAGTTTCAGTCATATTAATTTTCAATATTTCAGTCATACTAAATGTTTTTAAAAAGTTATTTCAAAACTCATTATTTATTAAATTTTTACTAATTATTTACTTAAAATATCAAAACTTATTTGTTTTGATATTTTAAGTAAATTCTTAAAATGTTTGATATTTTTATTATTTATAGTTTAATAAGGAATTTAACAAAGAGATCTGGTAATGAACAGCATGGGATTGCAACCACATTTTATCAAGTTTTGATTGATCAAAGAGATTGTCCATACATAGTACAAGTTTTTTTTAAGTTTTTAAATATTTTATTTTTTATTTAAGAATAACTTATTACTTTAAAAAATTTTTTTTGTTGCGTAAATAATTTTTACGTTAAAAGTTTACTGTTTAAAAATTTTCTTTTAAGATATTTTTTTGCAAAAGTTTATAATTGTTTATATACACACTAGAAAATGCAAAATTTTTAATTGTTCCCCCTCGTTTTGGCTGACTTTAGCAGTAAACCAGCGTTTTTTTCACAAATAAAAACAATATTTGCCGTAAAAACGTAAAAAAAAAAAGTCTTTAAAATTTTAATTTGGGCGGTACCTAAATACGGTTGATGCTGTCAAAAATGGTCTAGAATAGCCCCTAATATATATATATATATATATATATATATATATATATATATATATATATATATATATATATATATATATATATATATATATATATATATATATATATATATACACTTTTTTGGTAAAACAAAAAGTTATTCATTCAAAAAGCATTAAGTGAAGTGAATACCAATACTATGGCAACCAATTTACTATGTCTCTTAATATTTGTGTTTAATATTTTATTTGTTAGCTTAGATTTTTTCCAATATAAGGAAGTTTAAAAAAAAAAAGAGTTTTTTCGGTCTTCACACAATAAAAAAACAGCTCAATAATATTTGTTTATTAAATTATGGATTTATTCTACAAGATAAAATAGTTACAGATCATGCTTTATAACTTTAAAAAACTCCAAGATGGTAACAAAGACCAAGATCGGTATTTTTTGAAGGTTTTATCAGTTAAACATTTTGTAAGAAAAATTTTGGCGTGAAAATAAAGTAAAGCTGTAAAAGTCTGTATAATTTATTATCCTGAAAAGGTTTTAATCATTGAACGGTTTGTTTTAAACAAAATGTCCAGTTTGTTTTATATTTTTCTTTTTTATTTAATAAGTTAAAGAATGTTGTAATTGTACTCCAAAAACAAAAAAAATCAATATGTACTCCAAAAAAAAAAAAATCAATATTTATAGCAATATTAAACTGCAATATTTATAAACTAAAGCAAGCATAAATAAATTAATTAATCAAAAAATCAACAGCTAAGTTATAATAAATTTAATAAATAGACAAAGAAATATGAAAACACTATAACAAAAAAGACAAAGAAATATGAAAAGCAAATAACTATAAAAATAATTAGCAACAACAGCACAACTATAAAACGAATACAAAAACTACATAATGAGAAAGCAAACACAGAAACTTCTACAAAATAAAATAAAATATATTTGTTATTTTTGGCGGAAACAAATTTAATTAGTTAAACTTTTTCAAACTTTTTTTCTTTTAACTTGTTACTTCACTTTTAATTGATTATTTTTGGTTTGTTGAATTAAATCTATTTGTACATTTTATTATTTGATTCATTTTCTTGCTTAATTTTTTCTATAATCTTTTAGTTTGTTAATACCTTTCTATATTTTTGTTATTTTACTTTATTTTTAACTAATCTTTTTTTATTCTTAAAAATTTTTCTTTCATTTTTCTGTTTCTCTTTTCACCATTAAATAAACGCTTCAACCATTTGCAATGTCATTGCAAAGAATTTAAACTCTCTTGGCCTCCCTCTAAAGTTCTTTATGGTGGTCGTCTTGTAAAAAATATTTAAAAATTAAATTTTTGTTATTGGTGTAGTTTAAAAGAGAAACTTTTGCTATTTCAGAAAATACTTTTACACATGTTTTTTTTCCAAAAATTACTTCCTATAAATACAATAAATTAGTTTACTCCCTAAGCAACTTCCTTAGCAACAATGTTTTTTAGTTGTTTTGGGCCAAAATTATCAACCAAACTTGATAACATAAATTTTCTTAAGATAAAGAAACTTAAAGCTCAATGTTATAAAACTTTTTCGGCGTAAAATGCTACCGGCGGAATTTTTACTCTGAAATTTTTACAGCCGTAAATTTAGAGACATAAAATGTTTTTTTATTTAATGTTATAAAACTTTTACCGGCATAAAATTTGGCAGATATCTATGCTCTGAATTTATTTTCGGAAATCTACTAAAAAATAGGTAAAATTGCATTAATAAACTTTTTAAAAAAATGACTTTAAATATTAAATAATTAAAAGAATTATTTACTAACTCAAATTCTTATAACAAAAATTTATTAAGACACAAACATTTAAAAATAAAACTCTTTTGATGCTTTCTAATTTTATCCACAATAAGTTTTGATGTGCTTCCATACCATACACAATATGAAAAACTTTGGAAACAAGTTGTACATAATGTCTAAACACTTTCTGAATAAGTAGAAAAATCTTTGATGTGTTTTGTTATCTGACTTTATCAAAAATATTTGAGCTCATACCATATTCAAGCATCAAAGCTAATTTCTAGAACTTTAATAATTCTGTTTATAGTTTGACCACTTGTTATACTATTTCGAATTTCCTAAAATAACCTCTGCATAAATTTTAAATAGAGAAATTTCTTTTGCCTGTCCATTTTGAGTATGTCTAATACTAAAGTTGATCTGATTTTTGGATCAATAAAAAGTCCAAATAAATCTAGCATAAGTGCATTTTTCTAATTAGCTCAATAACAAAATTTGGAAAAACTTTAAGTTCCTTTTCAAACACTTTAAATTCCTGATGGTTTTCATTCAGATTCCTGAATGTCTAAAAGAAAATTTGTAAAGTTAATCTAAAAAGTTATATTTGTTTATTAACTTTCATTCATGAAAACTTATATACTTATATATGTATAAATATATATATATATATATATATATATATATATATATATATATATATATATATATATATATATATATATATATATATATATATATATATATATATATATATATATATATATATATATATATGTATATATATATAATTGAAAAAAAATAATATAATAAATAATAACTAATATTGTTAGCATCATTTTATTATTATTGAAGTGTTATTAATAATAATTATAATGCAAGTAGGAGTAAATAAAACTAATAGTTGTAATAACAGCGATTAAAAGTAATAGTAAAGTTTATAAAAAGTATACACTATACTACTACAATAATAATAGTAATAACAAAAATAACAGTAAAAATAACAACAACAACAATAATAATAACAATAATAACAAGAACAGTAATATAATAAAAAGAGTAATATAAAATAAAAAAATTATGACAGTATTAACAACAGTAAGAATCATAATACTTATAATGATAAAAGTATAGTAATAATAATATTAACAATTATAGTGATGAAGAGAAAATACTTCAGTTTAAGAAAGATTAAAATAATAAATAACTGGTTATTTATACTTTATAACATTCAATATTTTTTAGAAAAACATTGCTAAACTTTTCTTTAACTTATTATTTATAATCCTAACTCTGAGCTTCTATTTACCTTTTTTTTTCTCTTTTCTGTTTTGTTTTAATATTTTTTGTTAAATTTAATAAGTTTAACAAAAAATATTTAATCACAACAGAAAGGAAAAAATTAGATAAATAGAAGCTCAGAATTATGGTTATGAATAATAAGTTGAATGAAAGTATGAAATTTATAAGCAATGTTTTTCTAAAAAGTAGTTAATGAGAGCAGTTTTAAATTTTGAGAATGACTTACATTTCTTACATGACAAATTCAGTAAAAAAATATTAACAAAGAAATTGCTCAATATTAAAATTTACCAAGAAATGTGCACTTAATTTAAATGAATGAATTTGTATTAAGTTTTCAACTCAAGGTACTTTGAAAAGTTCTAAATCACAGGTTTCTACAACTAAATATTCATCTCTCTGGATCTTCAACAAAAAATTTTCGTAGGTCACTCCTCTGGAACATTTATCCACTGTAAACGCTTTGAATGATGGTTTTTAAAATAGAATGAGAGTTTTTAAAAAAGAATGAATGATTAGAATAAGGATTTTTAAAAATTTAAAAAAAAGAATGAATGTTTAGAATGAGGATTTATAAAAAAGAATGAAAGTTTTTGAAAAAAAAAATCAATGTTTAGAACAAGTATTTTTAAAAATGTTTTTCAAAATAAAAACCATTTTTATTTTTTAAAAACAAAAATAAACCCAATACAAATTTTTTTTTATTCTAAACATAAAATAAACATAATTTTTTAAAAGCAGTTATATGATAGGTATTGAGCTATATTTAAAGCAGTTATATGAAAGGCATTGAGCAGGGTAAAAAATTTTTCCTTTTCAAACTGAACAATTTTTTTAACATAGCTGAAGTAGTTGGTTAAGAAAAAGTAGCACCAACATTACATGCTTGATATGCTGAGTCTTTAAAGCAAGGTTGCTCTAAATCAAGGCTGTGGAGTCGGAGTGGCTAAACAAAATTGCGACTCCGATAGTAAAACTTCTCAGTATTGCATGTGCATGTACAAAACATTCAATTAACCATATGTTCATACTAAACTTGAAAAAGCGTTTCATAAATATTGTCAAAAAAAATTTTTTAACTACTCGCATAATATTTTTTAAAGAATTCAAAGAATTTTTCAAAAATTTTGCTTTGGAATTGGAGTCGGAGTTGAAGTCAGAATCAGAGTTGTACTCAAAAAATTTCAACAATTTAAGTCATTATTTTTTTTTAACGACTCCACACCCCTGCTCTAAATATTTATACACTTGGTGCTTTGCTGATTGGTGGTTTAGTTTGATTGGAGTTACATTGGAGAAGGTACTTTCTCCATGAGGGCTAAGAGCCTAATATTTTCTTTGGGTTTGGTTGATTATAAATAGCATTAAAATCTATGAAAGTTTTATTTTGTACTGATGATAATTCAGTAGCTTTTTCAATGAGTAGTTGGTGAAAGTAATTTTCATTAATTACTGATTGTAAACTTTTATCAATTACACCAAAGAGATGCATTTGAAATATGCATCACTTAAGGTATTAATAGTTTGTGCATGATAATTCACATAAAATTGATATTTTGGAGCTCAAACCGCAAACTTTACAGAGTGACTTCATCATTATAAGCTCCCTATTAATTGCCATTTAAAATCTTATTTCACCATGCAACAAACCTGATATTATACTATTAAAATATTAAATATAAACATAAAAACATATAAAACTTATAAAACGTATGAAACTTGTACAATACTTTAAAATTTCAAAATGCAATTTTATTTCATTTAAAAAAAAAAATCTTAGATGAGCTCATTCTTTTAAATAATTTTTTCTTAATTTTTTTTTAAATTAAAACCGTTGCCGCAACTATTATTTTAATCATTTCTTTGTTTGTGTTTGCCATAAAGGATTTTATTTAAAATAATGTCTCATTGTATAAACCGTTTCTTTGAGTACATAAGTGGATGTAAGCATGTTATTTTAGGTACACTAAGTAAAACTATTTTATTTAAGACTTTAACAAACGTTCAAGTTGCAAATATGCTCAAGCTGCAAATATGCTATTTGTAAGTATTTATTGAAAATTGTTGAAACTATTTTAAACTTTAGTAATTTAGTTTAATTTAGAAATTTTATTTTTAGTAGTTATCAAATGTTTTAAATACTTTGAATAATTTTAAATAAATATTTACAAATTACTATATTGTACTATAAAGTTTCCCAAGTTTTGTGGTATTCCATCAACAGCTGTATAAATATATTCCATCAACAGCTGTATAAATATAAGAGTATTAATCAATACCATGTTACGCATAGTTAGTGTCCCTGTTAATGCTTTTGGTGCGCATTTTTTAAACCATCCTTATCGTTTAAATGTTTTAATATGTTTTTTACAAATGTGGTCTGTTAAGCAATCTTTCATTAGTTGATGCAAAACTCTTGCTCTTAGTGAAACTTCTTCTGCTATTCCTACTTTAGATCTCAGTGTTGATCCTTTGATTTGCAAAGACTCCGATAGTCACACTTTTCTTGGGGATTACACACACACACACACACACACACACACACGCACACACACATATTAAATTACATCTTTTAAATGCCTTAAAATCAATTCATAAAGTAAACTTTTTAAAACAAGTTTGTTATTTTTTAATTAGTTTAATTGTTATAACTGTTATTTTTTAATCAGTTGTTTTTTATTTTTTGTGTACAATTAATTTTAGAGAGCACAACCAGAGTCAGTCACATTCTTAGGAAGCAAAAATGACATATCATTGTATGCAATACCTGGTATTTTAGTTTTAAAACTTATATAGTATATGAAAATTTTTTTTAAATCTTTTAAACTATAATCAGCTATAATGTTTTATAAACATATAACTATTTATTATTATACTATTTGATATATTATACGCTTTAATTAGCTCTAGGTTGCTGTGAGAAAAATGTATGGCTCCAGCTCCAGCCCTAATTTTTTTGAACTTATGACTATGACTGCAGAGTTTTTGCTTCAGCTCTGGCTGGAGCAATATTAAATATTTTTAACATTTACAAAAACACTGCATAAAAAATAGATTTCTTTCATATGTAAAACTAACTGCCGCAATCTAAACTGTTGGTTGATGCATGTAAGCTTGTCCTCTCCTTTTTCCTTAATTCAATAAGATGTTGTAAGTTAGTTTAAAAGTAGGTATTAATAAAAAAAGATAAAAACCAAATGATAAAAATAATCAAAAATATATTAACACTGTGCAAACCACAGTAGACTATTACTATGCACTCAAATACAATATTATATAATCAAAGGTCAGAAACATGTAAATCAGAGAATTAAGGAACAAAGAGAGAACAAGCTTACATGCATCAACCAACAGGTTAAATAGTGGCAATTGAAAGAAATCTTTTATTTATTTTTTTTTTCAGTTTTTTTAACTTTTTTATTTATTTCAGTCGATCACTTTATTTTTTAAATAAATATTTGCATTTAAGTTGTTAATAAATATTTGCATTTAAGAGCTATAATTCAAAATTTAAGCTACACATTGGTGAAGATGTGTAAATTTTTAATATTTATACATATTTTGTGATACAATAAATAAAATTAGGAATTTTTTTTTTTAACATAATATTTTTGTTATCATTACTTTTTTTCTTTCTATTTTGACATTTTGATTTTTTAATTTTTTTAGGTTTAGATTATGTGCATCATGAGGACATTTTGCCCTATATTTCTAATGATAGCCAACCAATTCAACATGAGCTTTTTGAAAAGTTTCTAAGACCAACTAATGGAGGTATTTATAAATTATTTTTAATATTTTAAAAAGTAATAACTTTTTTTAAAAGTAATCCTGAAATTGTAAAACATATAAATTGTAATACGTACTAGTTTTGCTTCCTAAGTTGAGTTTAAAATGGACTGAACCATATCTAAGATATGTTTACAATATCTGAACCATAAAACTTTGGGTTTTTAAAATTTAAATATCTCTAATTATCAAACAATGGACATTCAGAAATTAAATTAAAACTTAAATATCTCTAATTAAAATATTTGTAAAAATTTTTTAGAGATAATAGAGATAATTTTTTAGATTTTATAAGATCTAAGCCCCAGACTACTTTTGTTTGACTGACTAAACCTAGCCCCAGACTATTTTATATATTATTACTAATTATTATTACTATATTAAAATTGTTATGAATTAATTTATTAAGTCTCTTGATATATTAATAAAAAATATAGAACTATAGTAAAAAAATTTGTATATAGAAAATATAAGAAAACAATAAACATAAAAACATAGTAATAATTTAATAATAGTTAAAAAAAAACGGAAAAAAAATGTTTTCATGCGAAGGATATGAACTAACAAAAATATTTAGATGCTGATACTGAGGTCAGTGCATTAAACATCAGGAGATATGTCACACAATTGTCATCTATGTTAGACTTCTGTTATGTGTTTATGTAATCAATTAGTTAAATCTGTGCATCTAATGTAGTAATAAATGGTCCAAGTTTCTATATTTTTTGTTTAACTAATTATTTTTAATTTTTTTTTTTTATTTTAATAGACAATTTAGTTTTTGTAAAAAAAAAGTTTAGTAGTTAAGACTTCAAAAATTAAATTTCTTTCGTTTACACTTTCACTTCCAACATCATCATTAGTTTGGGTTCTATTATCCATCATGGTATTGTTCAATGAATGTTAAACAACAGTAAAGTGTTTCTTTATATCTGTTGTTTTGGTTAGTGACACCCATTCTGAGGGTAATGCAACTCATCTTTTTTCTTTTTTATCTTTTTTCTTTTTTTTCTTTTTTATTTGGGAAAAATCCCTATCACAGGGCATGAGACCTAGAGATAATTGTTCAAAACTTTTCTTATTATGGAAAATTTATTTGCAAATATGCAAAGAAATACTAATTTTTATTTTAAAAAAAACAGTTTCATAAATGCACAAATTGTTTAACCAGTGTTGTTTTTTATAATACTCTTTCCAATCACAATTTAAAGCAAATTTTTCTTAAAATCCAATAAAATTACAGCTGTATCCTTTCTTTTTTTTGTGACCTGTTTAGCTTCAGTAATTTGAGCAGTGTTTATTTAGTGCAGCTTGTGTTGAGTCTGGAGCTTGTTAATGCTGTAGGTATAATTATCGGATTTGGTTGTCTTACTTTAAGCATAATATCTTTTACAAATTAGTATTACAAATTTCACTTCTGGGAAATCTAAATTTGATATTATATTTATAATTGAAGATAAAGATTTAAACTGTATTTGCAAGGTTTTTTAAATCTGGATTTTCTTTTATAGTTTGTACATTGCAGCAACATTCAATAAAACATTAAGATATTTGGTATGCTGTAGTGACTCTCTTCTTTTCTGTTGTAGTGACTCTCGTGAACTGGAATAATTATAATGTGTTCACAAACACAATTTTTAGTACTAACATCAAATTTTTAGTGATTGATATGTTTACTTTTCCTGTCATTTATACTTGTAGAAAGGTTTAGAATCTTTTTTTCACTCTTAAAACTTTGATTCCATGCAATGCAACACTGCCTGACATATGTTTTTTTCTTTTTATGTAACAGAATAAGAAAAGCTTTTACTTTTTTTAATATCTAGTTTTCTAGGCCTTTGGTAAATGTAGCTGTCAGGTTTAACAGAAACACAGACACACAAGTAGTCAATTTGAGCCTTGTGATCTTTCAAACCAGAAAAATAAACAAAAATACTTTTTTTTGCTCTTCTGTTAACATCACTAAACGTTTACATTGACAATTCAGCTTCTCTGGCTAGCGTTTTTTTTTTTTTACCATTGGGTTTGTGTGCTTCTCCAAAAAAAATATATATATATATATTGTTAGTATTATGTAGGCCATTAAATTTTAAAAAAAGAAAATAATCCCAACATTGATCTATTTAATGTGCAGTGAATAAGCTTGCAATTAAAAAACTGTGGACTATAATTTTTTGAAATTAAACACGCTAAATTATATCAGTATATACATCTAATTTCAATATAAACATTTAATGTATCATTCATAGCATGTTAAATTATAAGTCAGTATTAATATATAATTTTTTATTGCTACAAAAACTAATAGATATAATCAAATAACTTTTACATTTTAAAGGAAACTGTAGCTGTTTTTAATAACATTTGTTTTTCTATTTATCTGGTGTTGATTTTCTTTTTTAGCTTTAGTAGTAGACTTTGAATTATTTGCATTCACTTGTTCTCCCATTTTTTTATTTTTTACTATTTTTAGAAAATAAAACCAAAGTTTTGATTAGGCATAAGGACCTAAAATAAAATTTAAAATGTGATGACTTATAAAAATCAGTTGTAAGAAAAGGATTATTTTTTATGCAATTATATTTACACAGTACATACAAAAACAAAGCAAAGAGGCTTAAGCTTAACAGATAGAGCAGGTCCAACTATGTGTACACTGTTTTTTTGGATCTTGTCTAGAAGAGAAAGAGCGTCATTATAAGCACCAGCCCGAGTATAACAACAGTATTCCATACAGGGGCGAATAAGAGATTTGTGGAGGTAGAGAGTGGAATTAGGAGAGAGAAAATGCCGAGCACATTAAAGAGAAGCAACCTTAGCCAGATGTTAATTTAAGATGTAATCAATGGCATATATAATTATATTTTATAGTTTGCCATGGAGTCTGTTTTTTTATAGCACATATGATATTAGTTAACACTACCATGTACTAGAAATGTGATATATATATATATATATATATATATATATATATTCCAATAAATGGCTCTTCGCTTGTTTGTGCTATTAAAGCTGACAAAGTTAAGGTTACTCATGTCAAAACGCATTAATTTAATTGCAGGAAGTAATTAAACCACAAAATGATAAATTTAAAGACCTCAATGTTTTTGAAAACATTCTGAATGTTTTTAAAAGCATTCTGAATGTTTTTAAAAGCATTCTGAATGTTTTTAAAAACATTCTCAATATCTTGATTTGATTTTTTAAAAATAAAAACGTTATGAATGTTTTAATTTTATTTTTTGCTGTAAAACATGCGTGGAGTTTTGCTAAATCAACTATTTTATAGACTGGCTTTTATAGACTGATGAAGTGCTGCTACATTGAATGGCAATTAGCCTGACTCACAACGGAGTGTTGCTACATTGACTGAGGGTTTGGTTCAGGCAGGCAGTCAATTAAATAGTTAATAAAAAAAAAGAAGTTTTTTGGGTCTTTAAAATTAAAAAAAATCATAAACTGACAACTTATGGTAAAAGCTTAAAGACGTTAGGGTTAAAGTTAGGGTTAAGGTTTTTACCACCTATGCAGTGCCATATTTTTATTGTTAAAATTAGTATGGCACTGCTGGTACAAGCTATACATGTCACAATATTTCTACTATTATTAATAACTAGCTTTATAATTCTTTATATATAATAATTTTATACTTACATATACTATTTATTAAATTCTGGCATATATTTATTCTAGTATTTAATAAATAATTCAGACTAGCTGTCATGACTCATAAAATACGGGTCTTTAGGATATCGATGCACACTTTATCCGCGTGCTTACAGCTCATTAGAAAAAATCATTTCACTGATTCAAAATAATCAGCCTAAAAGAAACAACTACGTAATTATTATTACAATATTTATATAGCTTTATAAATGCAATTAATTTATATCGATTTAATTTTTTATCTTAAACTAGCTGTCATGATCCGTAAAATACGGGTCTTTAGGATATCGATGCACACTTTATCCGCGTGCTTACAGTTCATTAGAACTCTTATCCGGCTTATAACGCAAGAAAATCTCAATCAAATGAAAACATCTAAATGATAATTTTTAATGTCCTAGATACGAAGATTAAACTTATTGATTGCGTAAACACTAATTTTAGCATAAATGGCATTTGCGAGACATTTCTTGCAACTTATGTCAAAATTTAATGGTGACTCTCAAATCCTAAAGGATAGGGGGGAGACGCTTTTTTTAAATATATATTTATACCCACTCCACACTTACTAAGCCACGCCAACCCTCATTTATTAATTATTACTTATCAAGTCTCCTTAAAAATAACAATTAAAAATCGGCATTTTCCTTTAAATTCTAAAATATTATAATTAAAACTGAGTAAATTGTTATTTCAATAAGTGATAAAAACAGAAACTTTCAGCGTAGAATCAGTTTTAAAACTCATCGACCTATTCAATATGGATTTGTCGAAAATGACCTTTATTTCTCACTTGAGTATAAAATTTATATTAGCATTTCAAATCTTATTTAAATTAAAACAGATTTTAAAAAAGGTTCATTTGACTTTAAGCACATTATAACTAAATTGTGTTATGGTGCTTTGTAAAAAGTATTAGTTGAAATTTTATTTTCAACTTACATTCCCACCCCATTTCATATATTAGGTTTGGACTAAAATTCCTACAGGAACCCTTTTGAAAAAAACTACAGTAAAAAGAGGATTTTAACCATTCATTAAACTATATCAAACTTACGAAGCAAAAAAACTCTTTACTTGTTTCGTAACAAAAACTTGTTTTTAGTACAAATTAGTGACAAAATTTTGCAAGCTGAAAAATCAAGGGGAGTGGGTGTTAAGAAATTGCCGTATAAAAACTATCGTTATCGTTGTTGCTTTTTATAGCTATATTACTATCAAGCCAGAATTGTATAATCGAGAAAAAAGAAATCTTTATTTGACTTATCAAAAATTTCAAATGTTATATCTAAAAGTTTTTCAATTTTTAAAAGTGTTTT